TGAGCCCCTAATCAAACGATTTGAAAAGAGAGGCTAATTGGACAAACAGTGGGGAGAAGATGATACCGTGATGTAAAGGAACCGCAAACACTCAGCTTAGAGGCGCCATCAGGGAGAAGGCCACGGCCTCTCCCAGCACATTCCGTGTCAGGCCCCTGAACTGCTGGGGTTCATCTAGTAGCATTTACTAAATGTCTGGATAGTTGCTCAGGACTCAAGGGTTAATGTGACACATTTTAAACCCTCCCTCACCCTAGGAGCAGGCACCCTCCTCATTCTAATCAGAGAGCATGCAATGCAGTGCAAGGGGCGGAGAAAGCAGATCATTTTAAGAGGGTTGAAATAAAGCTGGTGCTTAAAAGGTCAGTGAGAGAGAATATTCCAGAAATGCACTGTACAGTGTAATTAAGGTTCGAGGTATATTTGCAGACCCACGGGCCATTTGATGTGTCCCTAATACGGATTTATATAAGGAACTTCTAAAAGTTTATGGAGATAGGTATTATTAAAAAAACCGCATAGATTTCAAAAGTATTTTGAATTAAAATAAGCGTACACTAACTTGTTATATCATGTTTGAACATGATCTAGTTTGAAGCACCAAGAAGGATAAGGCATCAGGTTGAAAAGAGCCCTTATCAGAACAACCTAATTCAGTTAAACTTGAAGCAAGGAAAACATCACATTTAGAGTGGAAGAGTGGTAAAATAATTGATGTTTTATGAAAATTTTATGGGGACAGTGCCCGCCCTCAAAAAAAGTAGCAGTTTACAAATGGATAACTCATTTCAAGATGGGATGAGACAATGTTGAAGTTGAAAGCCCTTGGTGTCCAACTATCCATATTAATTTGGGAGGAAATAACTAATCTTGCTCATGCCCTAATTGAAGACTGACAAGTAATAGAAGAAACTGGTTCACAACTCTGATTGAAAAATTAAAGTTGAACAAGTTTTCTGCTATGTGGGTGCTATGTTAGTCTGGGTTCTCTCGAGAAACAAAATCAGTGATACTTATGTATGTATGGATGGATGGATATAGAAAGATTTATATCAAGAAATGACTGACAGTTGTAGAAATGGGTATGTGCCATCGGGTTCAAGTTCATGAGTCAGGTGGCCAGCTGGAGGCCTCTCTTGACTTGTGTAACAGGGGAGGCTGATGATAGGAAGCAGGAAGACTAAGCCGGAAGACCAGAGGCTGGTGGCACAGAGATGAATGACTGCACGGTCAGCAGTCTGCTGATGGCTCTTAGGATCGGCAGGCAATCGAGCAGGAAGTCTAGGAACCAGATGCGTGTTCTAAATCCAGGCAGAAACATCTTTCCCTGGGGTCTGCTTTAAAAGGAGTAGGCCATGCCACTGGGGAGTCTTTCTTCCAGTTACATCAAGGCCTGGCCTAATCAAGGAGGCTATCCTCCACAGCGGCTGGCTGTTCACAGAGTTGATTGTTAAGTTAGGTCCCACTACCAAGTTCATTACAGCGTGTTAGATCGCATCATGGGGATTACAGCGAAACTACTGAGAACCTTCACTCAGCCAAGTTGACACAAAGCCTAACCAGTACAAGTGCCCAAACTGTTGTACCCAGACCAACTGCAAACAAGAACAGAACTTTCCATGGAGTTTTTAAACAAATGGAATCAAGACCCTGAAGCATGTCTTGGAAAAATTGTCACAGGAGAGGGAAGGAACATGGCTTTTATGGGAGGAACCTGATGATGACCCACAAAGCAAGGACTACCAAGAAGTAGAAGTGGCCCCTTAGAGCAGAAGCAAGCAGATCACGAGCAAAGATGTCGGCAGCAGTTTGAGAGATGCTCAAGGCTTTTTGCTTCCTGACTTTCTAGGCAGCAAAAGGCTGATAACATCTGCTTATATGAAAATGTTTTGGGAAGGCTAACCAAATCTAAAATAGAAAATGCCCAGGAAAGCTTCACAAGAGTCCTCCTGCCTGACAACGTTCCTGCTTATCCCTTCCATCAAATAGGGCACATTCGCAAGCAGTTTGATGGGAAATCAGTAGTCGTCTACCTTACTGCCCTGATTTGGTTCCTTCTGACTTCTTTTTTGTTTCCTAATCTTAAAAAAAAAAAATTAACGGAACCTGGGTTTCTTCCATGAGTAGTATGAAAAAGGCTGCGTTAACAGGGCTGTCTCCCACGATGGGTGCTAGCACCCTGTGGGGCCCGGGTTGGGCCTGCAAAAGCGGACCCTACACTTGATCCTGGATTATGGGCTACAGTAAAAACCAAAGTTTTTAATTGCCTGGGGGAGATGGCTCTGAGTAATTTTTTTTCTGGAAAGGGGGTAATTGATCAAATAAATCTGGGAGCCTATGGACTAAATAATTGATATTATGGCTTACAAAAGTATCTCGACCATGATGGAGTTTATGTTGAAAAAGTTTTTTTCTTTTTACTTTTTTTATCTTTTCATTCCATTTCTCACATACTTTTTGAAGTCCTCTCTTATGAAAGTTGAAAGAAATAATCATGCATGAAAGACAGATGCCAAATGTTATCTGTGTTTCCCTGCAACTGAGGAATTTGGACTTTATCCTGCAGGCGTTTACTGGGGGACGGGAAAGAAGGACATCATTGAGAGGGATTGACTTGGTCTATTTCCACAGCAGCACAGGGGAGGGGTAGAGGGGGTTAGTCCTGGAAGAAGGAAGACCAGTCAGGAGGATATTGTGGTCATCGTGGGGTCTGATAATGGCAGTGATGGAAACAGGGAGGATGGTCAGATGAAGAGGCCTTTTGGGGGCCAGGACCTCCAAGACTTGGTAGGTAGTGCTGAGAACATACAGAGTTGAACTGAGACTTGGCCCAGGGCTATTCACTGGGGCAGAGATGCAGAGCAACAGTGGGG